GCATTGCGCGCCCCGCGTGTCCCCAACGGTCCTTCCCCCGCCCCCCCCCGCCATCTTGAACCCCGCGCGTTGCCCACTTCTCCAGGCAATAAAGCGTTTCCAAACGCGTTATTTATTTCTCCGGTGAATTTGCTSTTTAGTTACGGGCTCCTGTGGGAATGAAGGAGACCGAGGCGCGGCGCTGAGGGTGGCGGGGGAAGGTCTCACCCTGCAAACCTATCTCCCTGGCCTTGCTCCTAAGGCAACTAACTGAATTGGAGCCAATACTCCCTGCACGCGGAGACTGCGGTTGGCCTGTCTTTTTTTTTCCCGTTTCTAAGAGTTTTTCCTGTTTCTGCCTTTTTATTTTATTTTTCTGCTGTCTGCTAAGAGACTTAATCATGCTCCTTGTTTTCCCCCAGTAGTCTGTTCTCAGAGATATAAGCAAGGGGTTTTTTTTTAATACAGGAGTTGCTCAGGGTGATGAGGACGATCGATGACAGAATCGTCCATGAGTTAAACACTACGATTCCAACAGCCTCCTTTGTAGGGAAAGTTGATGCTGGCCAGACGTGTAAAGAGCTCTACCAGTCTGTAAGTCTCCGTTCCTTTGGCTTCCCCTCATTGTCCGCCGTTCTGCTTCACGCGGTGTCCGCTACGGCAGAGTCGGAGCAGCCCGGGGCAGCCGGCGTGATTCACCAAGCTCCRCGTATCCATAATTGGCGTGTTGGCTTCTCTGTGTAGCTAAACCGTGTGCACGTACGAACAACTTCACTGTAAAATCCTCTTGAGGATTCATTCACGCTGATCCCTTGGGATGTGTTGCAGTGGATAGTGTTAGCCCAGCCCATTGCTTTAATTTCAAAATGTGTGCTGGCACACTTCATTCCGTGTTGCTCACTCCTGTGTTGCTTCCAAAGCGTGCTGCTCGTGCRTGTCTTTGGCTTTTGTTTGCTGCCCCTGGATCAGCTCGGTAGCTGCGGCTCCAAGCAGCATTGCTTCTCAGCATATGGATTATCGAGTCAAAGGGAGATCTGCAGGCACAGTGGTGCCTTGACTTCAGAAAGTCAAGGCACCAGTTTAATTCTTAAACTTGCAATGCAGAAGTTTCCATTCTCTTGGGTCACTGAACTAGGTGCTGTGACTTTTTGTCTCTCCCAATCAGCTGATGGAAGCTCACACCAGCAGAGAGAGGATCATCAAAAGCTGCATCGCTCAGACTTCCAGTGTAGTGAAAACTCTCAGAGAAGAGAGGGAAAAGGCCCAGGATGACATAGCATTATTAAAGCAACTCAGGAAAGAGCAGACAAAGGTGAGTGGTGGAGMTTGGCAGAGATTGCCCAGGGAGGAAGGTGAGAGTATCTTTCCCAACAGGACTGAGTCTATGAGAGAGAGAGAACTTGAGGTGGATCCTACATACCGTAAGATCAGTGGAAAAGCATGCATGCTTCACCACAGGGCACTCTAATCTAAACCATGTCACATTTAATTTAATTTAATTTTGTCTTGGTTATTCCCTTTAAAATGCCTGATGGTTCCTCTTTGCCTGTTTATTTCTGGGAAAGCTAGTATCTTGACAAGCTTGCTGAACACAAGAAAGTAATGAAATATGTGTTTTCTCTTGCACTGCCAGTGGTAGACATTCTTAAAGCAGTGCTTTTCTGTCACCTGGAGAAGCATCCTTATCACTYAGTGTGTCGATCAGGGTCCTTGTTGTCTAGAATGAGATCCCAGGCAATCTTAAATTCCACTRTATCTTCTTTGTTGTTGTTGTTACTCCACGTTTCTTTTTTTCTTTTTTGACTGCATTTTAATGGTGTTTCTTGGGTTCCWTGAGGAACCCGTTCAGCATGTGCAGCCCTCTCAGTGTTTGACCTCTAGGGCTGACGGCTGTAGACTGAATGGAGAATGCACTTCATTGAGTGAACAGTACAGCAGCAAGATGGATGAAGAAAGGGAGAAAGGAACCTCCTGGTGTTCCTCACTGCTTTCCAGGGTCTGTTCTGGAGGCTAGCAGGGATGTGACTTCTCCTGTTGGTTTCATTAGGCATTCTCCTTCAAACCTGCTCCATCTCTGTGGCTTGTGTTCAGTTTACATTTTTTCCACCCATACCCTTGAAGCACACATAGAACAGGATTATTTGCTTGTTGTTTTGCTTACACTGGCTAGGTGTGCCTGCTGCATTCAACAGCTTAGTGAGCTTTCTTCAGCTAAGGACTGTCTCAACCAAGGCTTCTAAACTCATGTCTTCGAGTTTCCAACGTAACAACAGTTCTTGTAATAGCTTAATGTCCCACCATCACGACAGGACCTCGTTTCGTAGCTGCAGCTTTCCCTGCTATACCATTGTATCACTTTAAAAAGATAAATGGATGATCCTCAAACTGTTTGTAGTGCTGATCATCCCCAAAACCCAGCTGCCATCTTTACTTCCAAAAGGAGCCTCTTGCTTCTGTATCCAAGAGCAGCTAAGTCCTGATGCAGTTAGAGTCATAGAATCCTCAAGGTTGGAAGGGACCTCAGAGATCATCTAGTCCAACCCCACCCTGCACACGCAGGGTCACCTAGAGCACGTGGCACAGGGCTGCATCCAAGCAGGTTTTGAAGATCTCCAGAGAAGGAGACTCCACARCCTCTCTGGGCAACCTGTTCCGGTGCTCTGTCACCCTCACTGTCAAGAATTTTTTCCTTAAGTTCCTGTGGATCTTTTGGTGCTTCGATTTGTAGTCATTGCCTCTAGTCCTGTCACCAACCACTGCTGAAAAGAGGCCACCCCCTCCTCCTCACTGCCTCCCTTGAGGTATTTATACACGCTGATCAGGTCCCCCCTCAGCCTCCTCTTCTCCAGGCTGAACAGGCCCAGCTCCCTCAGCCTTTGCTCACAGGGCAGATGTTCCAGGCACCTCATGATCCTGGTAGCCCTGCGCTGGACTCTCTCCAGCAGCTCCACATCCCTCTTGTCCTGGGGAGCCCAGAACTGGACACAGTCTCCAGATGTGGCCTCACCAGGGCTGAGGAGAGTTGCAGCCAAAGAGCTTCCTGAGGAGATGCTTTGAACTCAAGGGTTCAAGGGGCAGCCCCTGGGATTCTCCAAAGCCAGTGAGTTAGAGAGGTGTTCAGCAGGTGATCTTCAAAGACCAAAGACCCCACCAAAGTGGGGCTCCGTTGTGAGTGCAAACTCAAGAGAATCGGGATGCGTACAAGGGGCTTTGGCCTTAAAGTGTCCTTTGGAGACCTTCGAACAAGTGTCCCTGGCAGTCTGAATAAACAGGCTGGAGGCCTAGCATGTTGTGTGTGTGTCTGAGCGTTTTTGGGTGGAGGGGGAACAGGATCGGGGAGAGGATTCTTTAAATCAGAGTTTTGAAACTCAAAAACTATCATTAAAACTTTTTGGAGGACCACAGTGCTTAACAATGAGTAGTGACTTAATGTTAAAAAAACAATCTATGTCTTGGAAGCACCTCAGAAATCCTTTGGTCAAATACCCTCTAACCTGCATTTGGACACTTTTTTCCCTTTTTTTCCCTCTTTTTTTTTCACACAGGCTTTTCAAATACCTTTTTTTTTTTTTTTTGTTTACAATAAAAATCTGGTTTGTTTTGTTATATATGCTTCTTTCATTTAATGGAATTGGAGGAATTTATCCAAAAATACATATTCTGGGCCATTGATTAAATCATAATTGAAGTTCTGTGGGGCTAGGAGCCAGTTCTGGTAGTCTGCCTTCAGAAAAGTGTCATTTGATTATTATATTTGCTTTGTATCATCTGTATATCAATGTTGATTAACTATATTGCTGCTTAGGCATGCCGCTTTAAGGAAAAAAAGGCTAAAATATTAGTTTTACTTAGGCCTAGTATAAAAGGCACTTAAATGTGCACTTAAATTCTTTATTTTGAGCAGAAAATGTTATGCTGCAAGTGAAGAAGCTGCCTGGCCTATTACTGGAAATTCCAGTACTTTTGCCCACCTTTCTCTATCTACTTAAGCAAGTCCCAGAGGATTTTTTCCCCCAAGTACCCCACTCTGCTCTGATCTGTTCAGTATGTGGAAAAATTCTTTTAAGAAGGCAGCTTTTAAGATAGGAAAACTTTGATTTGAAAAGCTAAGAATCTTCTGAGAGGTTATTTTGTACAGACTAATATTGCTCAGGTAGCCCCCCTGCTAATGCTGAGTTGTTATCTCAAGGTTTCAGCGCCTCTCAAGTAGGTAAAAGTTCATCCAAGCACTGTGTTGCTGCGTGTGTCCTGCTTGGAAGGGTTTTGGTAGGATTGCTCCGTGGGTTTGCACCTGTTCTCCAACTCCCTGACTTGCAATGAAGTGCTCAAAAGGAGCTGCTCTGATCCTTAGTCTGCTATGTTAAAGACTCAACATAAATAAAGCCCAAATGTAGGCATAAATAGTAAGTAGGTTCTCAAATCCTCTGCTGCTGCTTTGGAGCCTCGTGGTGGTGGTAAATTAGCTGCAGACTGAAAATGTCGTGWGTGCCCCTTGGAGTTCCTAACAGATGCTAAGCAAAGAGAGAGAGTCTTGTTTCCCTTAGGAAGGAAGGCTCAGGAATTGCTTCTTAGGGTGTCTTTTGCTGGAGCTCTTGGATCTAAACCTAATCTGTGCTCGTGTGGTTGCATTCAGACAGCGTGACACGGGCAGTCTGTTCCTGCAGACCCTTTGCTGGCCAATGCACAGACCAGTCAGTGAGGAAATAGAGGGAATCTTTCAATGAGCCTAGTCCTAAATCTGGAATCTGAATGCTCTGTGTTCAGGCCTCGATTTGCTACCAGCTTCCTACCTGACTCTTAATAATGCATATGTGGAAGAACGAGAACTTGAGGCTGCTGAGCCAACCCCACCGCTGTCATTCCCTGTGCTGAGTGTTTGAATGATGCGTAGTTATTTTTTGTCTGCAGAGCCATTAGGGTTCATCAGTTCGTTGCTGGCAAATCTAAATGGCAATATTCAGTGAAGAGGAAAGCGTTAGCAATTGGGAGCTGCTTCTGGCAGAAGGCTCGAGCTGCAAGCCTCTCTTTGTGGACTTCTGTCTTGCCACGCTTGCAGCTGATGATGCCCTTTGGTCTGCCCTCTCGGAGGGGATGCACACCAGTTGTGATCAAGCGAGTTGCAATGGTAGTGAGTACTGGAGGCTGCAGAGTGGCTTCTTTGACTGTAACTACTTTTTTTCATCTTTTCTGCAGTTGAAATTGATGCAGTCGGAGCTGAATGTCGAAGAAGTGGTAAACGACAGAAGCTGGAAGGTACTCAGCAGTCCTTTTAAAAACTGGTGATTGTTCTGTCCTGTTGGTTTGAACAGACAGCTCTGCATTGGAGGTGTGAGACTCATGCCTTATGAGGCGAGTGAATTAAAAATAAATGAGAGGAGTTTGGGGGGAAATGTTTTGGATCTGTCATCTTCCCTGCTCTGGATGCAAAGAGGAAAAAAAAGTGGCTGATTTAGCAATGGGGGAAAGGACTCGGCCTTTCTCAGTGGCCCAGGACCTCAGATTTCTCCGTGGTACGCTGTATGTAAAGCTTTCCTGGGCCTCTTCCATTGTCAGAGGGATGAGTATTTAAAAGAAATGCAGCTGTATTTAGTATTGATCACCTTTCTGAGCAAAGGCCAGAGGAGAGCAGGGCTCTAGAAGTTGGAGCTTTTCCGAAGGGAGTTTCTACAAGCTGGGACTGATGTGYCCCAGTGGGAAGGCGAGTTTAGCAACAGCAACAGCTGTGTCAGGGGAGATTTCAGCTCAACCTCTGTATTGATGGCCTCAGTTGGTCTTGTTATAGTCATCTTAACCCTGAAATCAGATTCTGAGGTGTTTGTGTTGTGTCACTGCAGTGTTTCTTACCTATCATCCTCCCCTGGTCTTTTGCACCTGTTCAGTTCTCGATACTGGATAAATAACCTTTTCCCCTCATAAAATATGAAAGAGATCTTTGCAAATAGCTAAAACTCTCTGCTGTTCTTTTGTTGATCTCCACCTTGGGATTTTAGTCCCCTAGATCCCTTTAGTGAAGATGTGATACAGCTGTAAATCTTGTGTATTCTTGGAGGTCTAGTCACTACTGTGTAGCTCAGTGCTGCATGAATGAGTGTTTGCACAGTTTGGCAGAAGMGTTAGCTTATTTATTTCCCCCTACCACTCTGCCTCCTCCTCCTTTCCTAGAGCTGACAGACATCTGGTTTCTAAGTAGTGAGATGTGCACATGGACAGGAGTATTTTGGCCTGCTGCAAGCTGGTGTTTGGGGAAAGGGTTGAAGACCCAGTACTTCTGGGCTTTACCTGCAGCTCTGCTCTTGCCTCCACRCCATATGCTTGTGTGTAAGCGTATTGTCTATGTCTGTGAAAATGCTATCTCTCACAGTAGTTCTAAATTGGACCCTCTCACAATAGTTCTAAACCTAACAAACTGAAAGCTATTTGGAAAATTCTGATTGAAAAAAAAAATATGTATTGAAAATATTTGACCTCCAAGGATATTTAGCTGCAAGGATAGTGGATACAGAAAGATTCTGCTTTATAAAAATGCATGTGGTTCAGTAAGTGTCTTTCAAAACAAGACACTCAAATTATTCCCTCTGAGCTGTCTTTATTCTGGGATTTGTCCCAAGTATGTTTTGTATTATTATATAAAGGCAGCAAAATCAAACTTATGCTTAGCAATTTGAATGTTAAGCTGTCTCAGGCACTGTTTTTCCTCATCCCCTCCAAAAAACCCAAACCCGAGAATAGCACCTTACAGGTAGACTCTGAGAGTTTGAGGGACGGTTCAGCGTGAGCTGAGTTCGCTTTGAGTGACACGTTGAGGTCTGTGGTGGATCGTACTGAAGAGAGGCGGTTGTGTTCATAACTGGTCAGGATCAATCTTCCTTCCAGAGTCTGAAGAGTCTCTTACAGACTCTTCTAAAGTCTGTGTGGTAGCAAGCTGGAAGCTTCTTGGGAGATTGTTTTTGCATGTTGAGATGAGCGGGCCAGACAATGCTTTAGAGTGTTTCCATTTTCCTTTTAAGACAGAAATTCTGCAACATCTTTGACAAACCATGGATAAAATTGTGGTTCTGAATGGGAACCCTTTATAACCTTTGATTTCTACGACTTTCTTTTCATCTCAGCTCTTCCACATTCTCAACTATTGTGGGATGTCACTTTTATGTGTGCACATAACGGCAGGGTTGTGAGAGAACTTACATTACAGCTTCTGGGCTCTTTATTTGCAATATGTAGTAGTTTGCAATATTTATCTGGCTCTTAAAATATCTTACCTTTAAAACTTAAGTTGAAAATTACATTTTAAAAAGTTCTGAAGAATCAACTTTAAAGGCCTTGCAGGCTGCAGACTTCACTTTTGCTGAAGCTGCCATGCATTCTGCATTCTGAACTTGGAATGAGGAAATGAGCTGTGGGAGAGGGAGAGAATTCTAGGAAGATATGGTTTAAAATAACATTTCATGTAAAACCGAAGCATCATTTCCCTCAAATTAYGAGACCAGTCACTTTGCATGTGAAACCTATGGGAGAGCTCCTGTAATTTGGTCTAAAGGCATTAAGATAYGAAAAATGTCTGGGCGTCCTTGCAAAACCATGCTGTTGCAGGAGTGCTGGAATTGGTAACTGTGCCAGTGCCTCAGCYTGATGGTAGGTGGTGCTCGTGTCACTTGTTAGGACACATTCTGGGTGCTCTTTGGAGATAAAACACTATCTAATTTGTAAAGAGCATCTCTTAATTTTTTTGTGAGCCTGTGCTTTGTGCTTTTGATTCAGGCTGTTTTACTTGAAATTAATTGCATTTATTTGCTGTCATTATGATAAACGTTCTGCTTGTTGAGGCCTGCAGTTCAGGCTAAATGAAAATGGTCTTCAATCACTAGTTCTGTGTGCTGAATTTTACCCGCAGGCGATGTTGAATGCCAGGCAAGAGCAGCCTTGAAATGCRCAGAAGTGCTGGTAACATCAGCACCCACAGTCAGATAATTAATATTGTGAACACGGCTTCCAAGAGCCACCTSTTAGCCCTCACGGCAACGGAGAATGGGTTTCTCGGGAAGAGAAGGACACACTGTCCACATCTGAATGCCCGAGTGAACCTGACCGGCCACCGATACTTTTCCTGGCTCTTACAAAAGGCCTCGGTGTCCTTGTTAAAGACAAATCAGCAGGATTGTGTGTCTGCCCTATCTGGGGGAGAGCACTTGTAGCACTGTGCAGTCTCCTAGCAAGTTTTRGGTGCACTAAAGCCTGCAGAGAAGGTGAATAGAAACAGAAACCCTGGTAAGTGCCCGTTCCAAGTAGCGCAGGGCTGGGCAGCAGGAGATATGGACCACGTGGAGATATAATTTATGGTTCTAGCTGTGAAGTTCTAGTCATCTGCCAGACAAGGACTGATTCACTTCTGTTCTTCTCTTTTGTCATCTCAGGTATTTAATGAACGTTGCCGAATTCACTACAAGCCTCCAAAGAGCCAATGATGTGCGAGGTGTTTTCTGGCAGGGCGGTCCATAATCATGAGAGCAAAACTGGAAAGAGATGTTGGGTGAGCCGTATCGGGGCCCTCCAGAACCAGTAGAACCCAGTCTTGTTTTGTTTTGGACCTACTTAACTGAAACGACAAGGTTTAAGTGATTCTCCTGTAATTAAGAGAAAGCAACTCATCTTTTGTACAAAATATGTGAACAAATGAGTTTTATAGTATTAAAATAATTTTCAAATGGAATGTGAAACTGGCATCTTTCTTGACCTTCTCAAGCTTCAGCAGCCCTGGAGGGGAAGGAACAATGAAAACTAGCCCTGAGCAAAACGGTTGCTTGATGGGATTTGAAGAAATCGCTGCACATGGTATGTTTCTAGGGGGGAATAAGCTACTAAAATTTAGAAGGAAATGAAGGTTGCAGGATGTTGTGAAAGCGTAGGCCAAGTACCTGTGAAGGTAAGAAGTTACCACTCTTCCTTTGGACTAATTGATGCCAGCAACGTTACTTTAAAGTTGCATACAGATATGGGGATCCATTTGCATGGTGTCCTTTGGTCTGTTTTACCAGATTCTAGATTTTCTTTATTTAAAGAACATAAAAAAAGCTAAAATCACTTGGTGGACATGAAAATATGTATTTGAACAGCATTCAGGAATGAGAGAGTTAACTGTCTGATGTCCGTATTTTGTCCCTTTTTGATCTCTAAAGTAAATTCTGTAGGTGAGTTGCATCTGAATTGGGAAAGTCAGAGTGCACGTCCCGCTGTTCCTGAACCTGGCAACACCGTTGAATCTGGAAAGTGTTGAACACAACACCCCTACAATAATAAAGCAAAGCAAGTGYCATGCAGTAATGATATCTATGTTATTTACTAATTTTAATTGACTGGCAATCAGTTGACTAATGATGGCAATGTCTGTTTGTTTGTCAGTTGGTTTATACTCCTGAACCCTTAAGAACTTGAGCAAAGMCTAAAAAGCCTGTATGGGAGATAGGAGGTAACTGGAAGAATTCACATTTCTCATTGTCAAGCTGGCAAAGATGTGTGTAAGCTCATCTGTTTTATAGCTCCTGTCTAGCAGAGATTCTGCGACTCCTTGGTGGTCTTTATTTTCAGGTGGCAGGGTACTTGCAGTCCTTTAGTCTCAATTTTCTCCTTTGAGAAAGTGACAGAAATATATTTAATTCTTTGAGGAGGTAAATTTTAATTTGCAAACTCCGTTGTACTGCACTGCCATTGCCCTTATGAAGAACTTTACTGTGGTTAGAGCTGTCTTGTCTTCTCCTTGAAGTATCTCATGTGTATTTTTCTGTAAGACCGAGAGCAGAGAGCATGCTTGTTCCTTAGCTGTTAAGTTCTTACCATTGTTTATGTGTGATTTTTAAAACAAAGTAGAGGTCGATCACTGTTCAGAAATGTGGGCTTTCACTTTTGCCAAGAATCAAAATTCCATAATAGAGAATCTGCTAAACAGATTCCCTGTTATGCAAGGTGTTCAAAATGGTAAGTTTTGATTTCAAAGTTGCTATTCTAATATCATTAGATTAATATCATGGCCCCTAATATGTATATATTAAATCTGTGTTCTCTCAGAAGTTTGGATCTGCTCTCTTGGAGACAAATGAGCCAGTTTTATGTTCTAAACTTGTTTATAGACTTGGCATCAGTACTCCCARGATAACTAAGACAACCTTGAGCTGTTCTGGGAAAACTTCATTTAGCAGATGCTGGAAAAGTGACCTGTGAAATTGATATTTTTTTTTGTGTGTGTATACTAGCAATGAAAAAAATTACTGGCAATATTTTCCTTTTGAATATAAAGCCAAACAAATAGATCTGTACAAAAAACTATTTCTTTCTTTACATGGAAAAGCTTTTGACAGCATAAGAAGACTTCTAAGTCCCAAACATCCCCTCTTCACGTTGTATACAGAGCAGATTGTATTCAGAGGGCTGTACTAAGGAGTTGAATTACTCTGTCTTGTTTGCTCTGAGCACAGAGGGATGTGTCTTACAATGCATGGCAAATCACCTGGATGAATCTCTCTTTCTGATGAACTTAGTGGAGCTTTAAGGTGAGTAGCTGAAATTGCATGCTGTGATTTGGGGTAAAGGGAGAGAGGAGAAAGCCTTGCTAGTTTTGGAGTAAGGTTGGTTTGGGAAGTGGGATGCTTTGTGATTGTGTGTAAGTGGCTGTAGTGCGCTGCGGCACATCTGTGCTAAATAAATGCAGATAAATGTTCGCTGTGTGTAGTGACCCCTTGCCCCTTCTAGAACTTGGCCTAGTTAGGATTGAATCTTGTTCAGCCTTATTACTCCTGATGTCCTCMAAGTAGCCACGTGCTGGGATGTCGTGTGTAACAAGTGATGGACCCCGCAGGTAGCAAGATTTCACCCCTCTTCCTTTCTCTAGCACTAGTTCTTCAAGTAAAGGTGCTTGAACAATCGACACAACYGATAGCCCTGCTCAGGGTTTGCATCCCCTGAGTTTGGCTTGTCCCTGTGCTGGGGTGGAAAGCCCTATTGGGCGTATGCTTAGACCCCTTCTGTGGAATGGGAAGAGCTGTTTCTTTAAGCATTCRGTGCTTGCTTCTTCTGCAGTGTGTTGGCACTCAAGACTGATGAAATAGCKAGTGTTTTAGCAGAAATTTAATAAAGTTAGAATTAGGTTTTCTTGGAGCAGACTGAGGGGAAGAGGCTCTTGCCCCGTACTATAAGCTCAGCGTAGGCTTGAAGTTCAGCTTAGGCAGGAACTTATGATTTTTGTGCTAGGTTAATGCTAACCTTGAACACTAGATGAAACACAACTTTCTGCTGCTAAATTTCAGGTTTCTGTCTAGCTCTTGAAAGCTGTTGAAATCTGTGTGGAAGCTGTGTGAAATCTGTGGAAATCTGTCCATTAAAATGGAAGCCCTTGTTTGAAACCAGCATGTTGAATCTTGGGACTAGTGTTACTGTGATGATGTTTAGATCCTCAATTTGTAGATGAAGAGTTCTGTCTTTTAGCAGCTCTTGAAATTTGGTGCTGTCTCTGTCTTATTTTCATCTAGTTCATCCAAGACACCTGTCTTGACCCTGCAAAGCCAAGAGATTGACTTGTTTCCTCATTTACTTTTAATGTGTAGGGCTTTGCTTTGTGGCTAGAAGCTGCAAAAAAAAGGACTGGTGGGGGAAATTGGTTCAAATGGCGCCTGTGCATTTGGAATCTCTAAGACGGAGAGTAACAAGCATGCAGGCTTAAGTTCAAATTCCCAATGAAAAAATGGATGTGGGTCWCTGTATTCATAAATGGGAAGTTTTATTTCACAGGAATGTATAAGCATACGTGTATAAGCATCCCATGTTATAGGATTCCTTAGAGTTATTGCTAACACAGGTTTTCTTAGGCAGTTTTCCAAATACTGTTTCATTAGGGCCAAAGCTTAATGGAAAGACATTTAGGTTAGTATTGTGTTTATGTGCTAAACATCTACATGTATCTTGCATCTTCATCTTATATACCAACTATGGTAGCAAAACTCTTAAGGAGTTGACATCTTCTCTGTCTCATCTTTGATGGCCACTGACCATCTTTGATGGAAGGTTGGTGAGATATCAGCATTGCAGTGACTTCATGAGCTTTTGTGCAGGGCAGCGCTTTGGTCCAATCTTAGCGTCACTTRGGTTTTGTGCCAACCATTGGGACTCCTGGAGAAAGAAAACAAAATGATTTGTACAGGAAATTCACAAGAAAATTTTAGCTTCAGGTTGCTACAACTTAATGCTGATCAGTGTTTTCTTCTGGAGAGTTCTGTGCATGCTGAAAACAGAGTTCACAGCCTCTGAAGTAAAACCCAACAAACTCAGAAGTGCAGAATTTAATAACTGATTTCCAAACAGCATTAGTGTCTTCCCTCCTAGACCCTTCCTGAGATTGTAGTTTTACCCCTCGTATGTTTTGTACTCATCAAACTTCTTGCTAATCAGCAGCAAGAACCTGCCAGAGGCTAGTGCTGCTCTGGGTGTCTTTTCAGTATCTCTTCCCCATGGAGTTAGTGTGATCCACATCCCAGTAGGTGAAGTTTGTAAAAAGACCTGCTGCAGCACTGGTGCTGCCTAGTTGTGGGGCATATTCTGTGGCCTCAAGGGAGCTGGCTCTTCCAGTTAGTTAGGTCCTCTGTCCTGCTGTGTGAATAAGATGCAGGGTAGGAGTACGGGGAGAGAGGTTCACTCGAGTGATTCAGCAGTGGTGTGTGCATGAGAAGGAGGTTCGGCTCATCTGCATGCGTTGTCATTAGCTCCATGAACTGGGCTGTGAGGAAGTATTCTTCCAGATTGGTAAATTCATTGAAAATAGCAGACTTCCCGCTTTAGCACGCTCCTCTCAGTTGCATAACCTGGTCATGTTTTTCACTTTATTCAGCAAAATGTTATACGACAACTGATGTTCTCCACATGCCTTCATCCACTCACATGACGCTGTTGCCCAAGTGTGGGAATTTCTGCAATATTCTTATTTGCAGTATGCTACATATTACCACAGTCTATAGCTTGTTAAGTCCATCAGCCCTAGTTTCTCAATCCCAAGCCCTTTGTACCAAGAACAGGCCCTAAAGTTAGAGACCAAGTACTTGCTTACAGGGTATTTTATGGCCATCTATGAGGAGAGTCCCTAAGCTGGTCTATGCTACTGATACACAGAGAAATCAGAGCTGCACAGTCACCACTGCGGTGGCTATGATCTCCCCTGCCTATAGCCCGTGCTCTAATGTTGATCCCAGAAGTGCCCAGTGCCAGGGCTTCACTCCCTCATGTGTGTCCACCCCCAGGAACCCAAAACTGTTTGGACTGTTGCTGCCTCTCTGGTCTTTGCTCTGCAGTCACCTCCATCCCCTTTGCTGGTGAGGGGGATGACAGGACTGTGCAAGGGAAAGCAGTTCTTCTGTTCCAGCTGGGACTCCTTTTCACAGGAGGCAGCCTGTGTTTGAGCTGTATATATTCATATACAGTCGTACATGTGACTGGGGTGGGTCTGCGAGTGCAGAACACAGATGTTCTTCTATATTTACATATTTTAACAACTTGTAACTCTTGAAGTACCTTGACACAGCTACTTTGGGCCCTCAACTGCTGCAGTGAGGGGGAGAGGCAAACAGATGGGTAGTACTTGCTCCTCTGGCAAATTGGCACTGGGTTTTCAAAGAGAGTGGAGGTAGTCTTGTGATTTTAGTCATGAGCATGATTATCTGATTGCCACCGTACCTTTGATAGGAAAGAAAGGAGCAATGAACTTACCAGCAATTATTACCTGGACCTAAAACAGGCAACAGTAGTTTTTGGATCAAGCAGTGCCAGGGCACCTTTAATGTCAGGCAGAGGGAAGGGAAGTAACTCAAAAAAGTAAGAACAACAGCAGCAACACTGCTGCTGCCTCCGGCTTTGAAGGATACGGAGAAAATGCATTTTCAAGGCGAATAGGAGCTTCACTAAAGAAATTGCTACGTATTTTCATCTGATCTCAAATGGTGTTGCAAAATGTGGGGTGTAGCTTTGATCCCTTTTCTAACTGCACCGACCAGTCATCTGTGCATGGGTGGTGAGTCGAGATGTTCTAGTTTCAGCCTGAACCAAGTGTCTTAGATGTGGGTGACTGGAGATGGTTGTCATTTACTTTTCTAATTGTTATTAAGATTCTGCACCCGCAATAAGGTTTAAAAAAAATTTTTTTTGGTGGTGGTTGTTGTTTTTCCTTTTTGTTGTTTACTATTAATACTCCAGGTTTATTTCATTCTTCTCCCCTGGATTCCACATTTGCTCTTTTTCTCCAGTAATGGTCGACTCTGTAATCTACAAGTCATCAAGTCATGTGATTTGACCACACGTGTATATGTGTGTGTGTGTGTGTGTGTGTGTGTGTATATAGAGGAGGTACCTGGTGACTCGACTCAGACTGCTCTCAACTTCCCTCCCCAGAGCTGCCTGCTGTTTTGGAGAGATTGGCTGCCACCATGGTGCCCGGCGGCTTGTCTGACACCAGGCCTGCTACCCCAGAAATCCAACACATAGTTGACCAGGTGAGTTACAACTTCTCTGAAGATGAAGAAGAGTCTCTGTGTGCAGGGTTCAGATGCTGAAACATGTGCAAATGTTGGGAGAGCAGTTAGTGATGCTGAAGCAGTGAACTGAAAAAGTTAGTGCTGAAAATGGGAGTGCCCTTGGCTGCCAGAATAACAGCAGCATTCGGGGTTTAATTGCACCAGGAATGGGAGGGAAGGCATTTCTCTGTCTCGTCCTTGTCCATAAGCAGGCATAGGCGTGGCTGCCTTCAGTATATTTGCATGGAGTTCCAAGCGATCAGCTGGAGCTGGGCACCTGGGAGAAGTTAAGGGCAGTGCATCTGAAGGCAGGGGGCTACACCTCATGGAACTAACTCTTCCCTGAAGGGCCTGGTTAGGACCAACCACATGGGGACAAACACTAAAGACCAAGACGCATGCAGGACACAGTGCTGGTGTCTTCTGTTTTGGGGCGTTGCAGCTGTTGATGCAGGGTCTGCTGGTGCAGGAGGGAAGGGTGAGCTGAGCACCAGCTGGCAGGATGAGTGCAGTTGTCCTGGCAGTGAGGAGGAGGGGGCGGCCTCTTTTCAGTGGTGGCCAGCGACAGGACTAGAGGAAACGGCCACAAACTGAGGCACCAAAAGTTCCACAGGAACTTGAGAAAACACTTTTTGACAGTGAGGATGACAGAGCCCTGGCACAGGCTGCCCAGAGAGGCTGTGGAGTCTCCTTCTCTGGAGATCTTCAAAACCCGCGTGGACGCAGCCCTGTGCCACGTGCTCTGGGTGACCCTGCGTGAGTAGGTGGGTTGGACTAGATGATCTCTGAGGTCCCTTCCAACCTTAAACATTTTATGATTCTTTGAAGACGTGTGAGAAGCTTCCCTCAGTCCTTTTTCTTTTGAAAGCTCCAACTCCATTATTGTTTTTGTTCGGCTAGCTTTATTTATTAAGGAGGTGTGTATTTTAAAACGCTGATTATTGAGAGCGGTGGGTGTTAAGGGGAAGCCTTCATGCCAGCTTTTTCCCTTTTCCCTCTACAGGTGAAAGAACAATTGCAAAGGAGGACAAATGAAAAATATGGCCTCTTTCTAGCCATCGTCTATAGGACTCAGGTGGTTGCTGGAATAAACTACTTCATTAAGGTCTGTACATACAGAGAGCGAGTGCTGTTTACCAAACAACGTACGTAACTGTTGAATTGGCTTATTCCAAGGCAAAGAAGTGGGTGTAGTAGAAAAACTTCTGATGTGACTAGAGCTAGGGACTAAGTCCGTGTGACTCTAAAACTCCTCTCTCAGTTACTCCTGAAGGACACAGAGGCAACACCTGTAAGGTTTCTGAGACGTGAACAGTAACTTCTTTAGGCTCCTCTTTCCTGGAGGACAGCTGACTGTCTTATTGCCTTCGATTCTCTGAATCAGCCTTAACTCTGCTCTCCCCTGGAAGGCACAGAAGCAGGGGAAGAGCTGCCGCTTTGCTGTGAACAGAAGCACTGTGTTTATTAGGATTAATCCAAGGTCAGCTTGAGGATCCAAGAAAGAGCTAGAGGCAATCTTTTAAATCTTGTCTATGCATCCCACCCAGTGCTACTAACCAGCTCTACGTACGAGCCCCTTCTTGACCTCTGCATTCTGCATCATCTGCTGCAGAGATGCAGTTTGTCTCCTAGTTGTTCCTGTGTTTGCAAAGCTCCTCTTCCACTGGGCGCTGAAAGGGTGAATGCTTCATTTGGGGCCCCCGGATGGCACCCACTGATTTGGGTCCTCCCCGAAATAGCCTTACCCTGCACTTGAGCAGTTTTCTGATGGAAGCACTGTGGCAGAGTTTCCTGGGCATATTTTAAAGCCCAAATGCAACCAGTTGCTTGCTTGCTGGCACGCTGCCTTTCCTGTTCAAAATGTTGCACACGGCTGCTCTCCGGCTCAGAGGCTTTCACAGGCCTCCACCTGGTCTGATGTGCTCCCTTGAGCAGCATCTGCCTCTTGCTGCTGCTGCTGCAGAAAGGGGCAGGTAGCGCTTGGTGAGCGCTCATTCTGCACGGAGCCACGATGAGCGGTCGCTCTGCACTGCCCAGACTTCCCTGATCACAGGAGAGACAAATGCGGCCGCACCTTCCGTCCTGGGCAGGCACAGTCAGAGCTCATTTCACAGAATCCCAGAGTATTCAAGGCTGGAAGGGACCTCTAGAGATCATCTAGTCCAACCTTCCTGCTCAAGCAGGCACACCCAGAGCATGTGGCACAGGGCGGCATCCAGGTGGGTTTTGAAGACCTGCAGAGAAGGAGACTCCACAACCTCCCTGGGCAGCCTGTTCCACTGCTCTGTCACCCTCACAGTGAAGAAGTTCCTCCTCACCTGGAGATGAAACCTCGTGTGTTTCCGCTTGCACCCGTTACCCCTTGTCCTATCACTGGCCACCACTGAGAAAAGCTTGGCTCCCTCCTCCCTACAATCTCCCTTCATGTATTTATACATGTTAATAAGATCACCCCTCAGCCTTCTCTTCTCCAAGCTGAACAGGCCCAACTCATGGAGTCTCTCCTCTTATGAGAGAGGCCCCAGTCCCTTCATCATCTTTGTAGCACTTTTCAGGTGATGCCAAGAAGGAAGCAAGCTGCACAATGGCTTTATGTGGCGATATAAGCTACTAATAAAGCAGTGCTGACTTGCTTTCTGGGAAAGGCCTGGGAAGCCTGGGAAAGGAGAGAGAGGAATGATCAGTATCAGGGCTAAACATTTTCTTCTGCTAAGGTAAGTGTCAGGCCAATCATCAGTTCGGATGAGTTCACTATATTGTCAATCATAGTTTCAAAATACTTCAGCTCATTGTGAATAGCCAGTCGTATCTAGGCCTTTTCCCTTCATGTCACTCTGAAGGTTTCTTTTCAGGATCCTGGCAGGCATAGACAGTTTCTGCCACCAGCAGTAGCTGTGTCTACAGAGACCGGGATTAAGAGATGCTGATGTACAAATGGACACATGTCTATACCTAAGTGCCTCGGATGTGATATTTTTAAAAGTCCAGAGCATGCTTTTGTTTGTACTTGCTTCATCCGTGATCCTTACCTTTCCCATGTTTTATATTCTTTTCTTTTTTTAGGTGCAGGTCTCTGATTCCATGTATGTCCACATGAGGGTGTTTCAGAGCCTTCCTTCTGAGAACCAAGGCCCCAGCCTTGTCAGTTATGAGACTGGCAAAACCAGGGATGATCCTCTGACTTATTTCTGAGGAGCAGCGGGGCCTAGTTCCTCACTTCTGCAAGTCACGTGTGGATTTGACCTCTGTCAGTAAAGCCATGCCAATAAAGAAGGTTGGAGGCTGTTTGTTTCTGTATTGCATGTCACAAGTTGTGTGGCTAAAGGGTGGATGGGGTGTGAGGGGACTTGTTGCCTTGTGCTGAGAGAGGAGAATCAAAACAGATGGGAGCAGGAGGCACCCATCCTTGCTAGAGTGTCTGTTTTCTGGGAGACTTTCAGAGCTCGTGCTGTTTTGTAGCACCCGGTGCCTGTTGAGAGCTTTCTTCAGCTGAGCTCTGAGTTGCGGAAGGCAGAGGGCCAGCCTAAATGGCAACAAATGCACTTTCCTCTTCCCTGAGCTGCTGCTCCAGAGCTTGAAATCACCAGGAGTACAATCCAAACCAAGGATGTGGGGCTCAACTTCAAGCCAATGAATACTGAAAGGGTTTCAGAGCAGGCCTCGCGACTATTTTTATTTTGCCGCTATGCTGACTGGTAGGAATGGCTGTGTCACTGGCATGTGGTGCCTGGGATGCTGCTGCCACACTGCCAGCCCCTTTCCCCCCTGGTTTCTCTGCGTAAAGTCTTCAGCGGGAAGAGGGAGCCTGTGGCGTCCTGGGACATTGGGAGTAGTCCCCTGCTTGGGGATTTAATGGTGCCTCCAAGAGCTGAAGCCTACAGTCTAATGTTAAATGTCTGTGAGGCACAGCAGCTCTGACAGTACCAGCATTAACTTAAATCCCTCGTCACCCAACAGTATTTGGAGTCAGTGTGCAGCTTTGCACCTTTGGAGTTGCATCAGGGCAGAGGAGCAGCAAGAAACACCTCTCCCATCACTGAAAAAAAACCCCTCCCCTTTTGTGAGCAAAGGAAGCTGTACTTACTAAGCCCGACACCAGCCTTTGTTTTCTTCCGTACTTGGCAAGGGAGGTTTGTGCCGGGATGTGCCACAGCACATGGGCAGAAGAAGCAGTTTGCGCTCCCCTAAGCCCCTTAATCAGCGCTTTGGAGGCAGAACATGCTCCTTCTATGCAAGGCTGCTAACATGGCTCCAGGGAGCAAATGTGCACCACCACCTCTCTCCCCCATTCCTCCCAGCCAAAAATGCATGAATTCATCCACTCTCTTACAAGATATTGAAGTATTTTCTTTTTTTTGGTTTGTATTTCAGCCTTAGCCCCAGGCAGCGCAGCAGCTGGTTGCCTGTAGCTGTAGGCCATGGCCCCTCTATCCTTCCCCCACCCAGCAGTGCCATGCAGGACAAACACCTTGCTCAGGTCCCTGCCCCGTCACTTTGCACTGCCACCACAGATGCCACCTCCACATCCTCTCTGCACAACCTGTACCAATGCTCGCGCTTCTCGGCAGCGTAGTCCTTTAATGCACCTGTGTGTAAGGGCATTTATGGCAGTGCAGTTTGCGTTTAACTCGGCCTTGTCTTTCAGTGAGCACCACTGAGAAGATTCACGCTCCTTCTTCACCTCTCCTCCCCATCGGGTATTTATACAAAGTGGCAAAATGGCCACCCCCCACCCTGCCTTCTCTTCTCAAGGCTGAGCAGTCACTGAGGGCTCCGGTACGGCTGTGCTCAGGCCGGGACCTTGCGCTCCTGCTGCCGCCTCCTCAGGGCTGAGTCCAGGGGAAGTCTCACTGCCCTCGACCTGCAGGCGACACTGGGCCCCAGGCAGCCACCACTGCCACCAAGGGGCACTGCCAGCCCCTGGCCTATTGGCGGCCCCCACCCAGCAAGAAAAGGAAAAGATGCTTTTCAGCAAGCTTAGGTATGCCCACATTGTTTCAGTGTTCCCTAATCTGGTCCTACTCAGCCACATCTTCCTTTTCCAGTTCTCCCTCGGTATTTGGGGATCTTGGATTGCTGAAGACAGATCTTAGCAGTAAGTGCAAGAGAAAAAAAGGCCATACGTAGGCAATAAAGGCAATACGTAGGCCATATCCACAGCCATTTGTTACCATGCTCCCTACCCCGCTTTATACAGGGTCCATAATTTCTCTAGTTTTGCCTTTGTGGCTGATACATCTATAGAAGCCTGTCTTGTTGTCCTGCATGTATACATAAAATGTTATCATAAACAGAAATACTTAAGTATCTGGAATATGAAAAGAGCTCATGGAAGAATTCTATGCAAAACAATAACCAACCCTGAAAAGCAGCACACAAAATACGCAATGAAAAAAAGAGTCAAATGCAGTGTAAACACTAGAGAAGTCTTTATTGTTACTTACGCAGAAACACTGCCTAGTTTTAATTTCTTTCCTGGACTTTTTCTTAGGAATCAAAAAATAATTTTTATTTTACACCTCATACACCCTCTACTGGACATTACATCCTACCACTGCCACAAGATAAACGTGACAAACAAGGGAATGTTTGTTTCAATGCTGCAATCCTTCTCTTTTTCATGCTTTCAATATTTGTGCAGGTCGGTGTTTAGGTCCTTGCCAATAAAACACACATTTCGTATATATACTCTATTACAAAGCAGCACAGAGAGGGTTCCAATTCTCCTCTGGCTCCTTGCTGCAGATATGATAAGGCCTAATAAGATATCCTGGAAATTCAAAGTCCAAGTCAAGAGACTTAACTTGGGCACCAGATTCTTGTCAAACTGCACTGCAATCATTGCAGCCTCTTTAGGTTTGCATTAGTGTAGCTGGAAGAAGAGCCATGTTTGCTTTTAGATACTGCACATCTGCTTTAGATACTGCTTTTAGATACTGCACTGGGAAAGATGCATAGAAGAATCAGATTTTTTTCCAGCTTTCAGTTTACAAAGAGACATATTGCTCTCATTTGCACAACAATCAACATTTTGCAGCCTATAGAAAATGCACATAAGTGGCCATTAGAAAAATGCACAGGATAAGCTTGCTAGAAATATGTGAGTTCATCATGCCTAGCCTTGCTCTTCTGGTAGCTGTGAAGGCTCAGTGGCTTATTCTCGTGAGGGAGGCTTCTGAACACTCGCAGGTGCACAAATTCATCATTGCCAACATAGACCTGAAAGGTAAGGAAAACAGTGAGCTCCATGCAATCACAGCAGCTTGCAGTAGGAGGTATGGCTTGGATTGGGAAGCAGGAAGGCAGTGAGACCTGAGGCATCTCAGAAGACGTGGTCCTGTGTTGAAGCTGATTACAAGTCATGCCTTTGTGGAAACATTTCTTAAACCTTCTATGCCAGTTAATCCCCCCTATGCCCGAGATACTGAGTGTGCAGCTAGGGAATCAGAGCTGCAGAGAGGTGGCTAATAGATTCAACACGTATAAAATACCTAAACTTGTCTGGCACAATAAGCACAGCTTTGATCCCACTTGCTTGTGCTTTTGTGTGGCACAGTCAGAGAGGGTTTGATGCATCACTGTCTTTCATTTCACTTTTAATGCAATGTTAGTGCTGAACAACATGGAGTGTTGTTCAAATCATTCTTGTATAGGTAAGTAGCTAAAGAAAAAAATATCATGATTTTATATATGTAAAAAAATGGGATCCCATTCCCCACCATCTTGTACCTTGATGAAGAAATTTGTTCCAGCAACTATCTGGGATTTATACTCCACTGCAGTGAAGACATCAAATGTTTTCCCTTCTTTTTCTTCCAGCTGAGGCTTCACCTTAAGAAAACAAAAGATTATTTAAGACCAGGGCAAGATTCAACTACTTAGGCCTTAAGGCACTGAAAACCAGTGCCTCAGTGCCATGCAGTGCACTGCTGCTGACTTTCCTGCTTTTCAGAGTTACATTGTCCATCAAAATGGACCATGCAAAAACTTGTATTAAAGCAAGGCCAACCAAAAGTCTGTACAAAAGTCTGTGCAAAGGCAAGACAGCAGTGTGATTCAATCACCGCACACTGAAACTGTCTAACAGACTCTAGCAGAACTGCCTGGATGCTCCAGAAGTATTTAGACCAATTATTTCCTCTTTCCATGTCTCAGCTTCCCTTGTGGTCCTGTATATTTATCAACAAATACAGAGAAGTGGTTTGATGCCTGTGCATACAAGACTTCTTTCTTTCATTAAAGAGAAGTTTAGACTGTATACATGATAGTCATCCTGACAAAAATGACTTTCTTCAGCATTGCCTTCCTTTTCCAGTTCTGAATAAGTTACTACCAAGCAGCATCACAGAACAAGCAATTAGAATCAAGCTTTAAAAGCAAAATGCAGAAACTTGAGCTTTTATAACATGGATTTGACAGTTCTTCCAGACTGTGATACTCTAGCCTGCAGTGTTTTCAAACTGCAAATACTTTCCAATAGTAACTAACCCAGAAGTCTTCTGATTTATCATTGCTAGTTTCCAGAGGGTAGCATCAGTGCTCACAAGTCAACAGAAGTACCCAAGACTCCAGAGATATGAACTCACATGGGTTCCAGCTTTTCTTTCCTGCATTTGGCTTCCTAGAATATCCCAGCTCCACTGCAAAGGATTCGGGCTTCACTTGCAAGGGCAGTAAGAATTAGTGCGGGAGTCCTTCTTGCAATCTCAGCACTGCCCAGCAGCACTTCCTTCCTGCACTACGACCCTACGCAGCTCTCCCCACCCTCAGTACAACAGGAAGAGCAGCGAGCAGATTTTCTCTTTCGAGCTGCGTTGTGCTATTTTCCTGTCCCTCTAAATTCAAGGGGGATTCATCTGTTTGCTGTCCCACCTCAAAGCTCTTCGCTTTCATGGGGGAAAAGTAGTGCCAGCTAATGGCTCCTCGGGTGCTCTAGGAAACACTGGAGTAGGAACAGAAACAATCCTCGCAGCGGGCCTGTTCTCATGCTCTCCCTCCCTGCTAGTGAGAAGGGGCAGGCACCGGCCATCTGCCCTCAGCCTGGCAGCCAGGAGGCAGCCCTGAGCTTCTTCCAGGTTCCTGGCTTTACTTCCAAAGTAGGAAAACAATGTTTTAATTCTCTCCTCCAAAAGATGTGTGCACGAGAGAAATCCAAGCGAACCCCAAACCTTCCCAAGGAAGGGTGCAGCTGCAGAAACCACAGCAATTCAGTCCTCCCTTCCTCCCGCCACTGAGACTCAGACGAGGGAGGAAGTGAGCTCAGAACTTGAGCAAAAATCACAGAGTGTAAGAAGTGGGTGGGAAGAAGTTGGGTATAGGGACAGCGCTGGCCCTTTGCTGTCCACCACTCCCTCAGCAATCCTAACTGCTGCACAGGCTGGTTTTTCAGATGTGAAAAGCAGCCTGGCTCAGCACGTTCTCTATGTCTGCCATTACGCTGAACACTGCAGGACTGCAGCCAGCTCAGAGTCACCCGGAGTGACTTGTCACAGCCCAGGGCACCCGGGCATCCTTGCTTGTGGGTAAAGGGAGAAACACTCACTGAAGAACCAGCCACGGTTCAACACAACGGTGAAAAACTGAAATTGGAGGGTCTGACTGGGTGTAAGGCAAAGGCCGGGGAGTCTCCATGTTCGCAGGTCTGCCGAAGGCAGCTGGGTGAAGGCCCGAGCAGTCTGTCTGCTCTCAGAACTGGTTCTGCTTTGAGCAGAGGGAGAGGCCGCTCTGCACCCCAAGGGATCTGCAACTCAATCACAGGACTGAAAATTGTCATGTCTTGAAGCTGGTTTCCTGCATGCTCACTCTCAGAATAGTCGCTAGAACACAAGTGATCAAAATTCATCCTGAGGAACCTCTGAGGCTGAATAGGCCTGGGCTGCGGCCCTTCCCTTGGAGAGGCAGCTCCTCAGGGCATCTCAAGCCAGGGACATGGTTAAAGAGAAGATATTTCTCATGTTTAACCTGCTCTCAGTAAGCAGAACTTCCTGCCAGAGCTACGAGCAATGTTCAGCGTTTGACAAACCTGAGAAAACCACGCAATGAAGATGAGGAGCAGGAAGCGTATTTGGAGTGGGCAAACTCGGCAGGCTCTAACTAATCTCTGAAAGGATTTGAAGCACACCCAATAATTTAAGAACTTCTATCTTGATTTAACAAAAAGAATGTTTTCATCATAGCCTGTATCCTGTTGAGTAGATTGGTGAACTTAAGCTTTGAAATTTCATGGGTGACTTTCGGTTTTCATTTTCCCATTTATATTTCACTAAATAAAATCATTTAAAATGTCATTCAAAACAAATTGAACAAATTTTGAAGTATTTAAATGGAAAAGCCAGATTTTTTTGTAAACTCCATACTTCTGAAACAAATTGGTTTGGCTTTTACTCTACATGTGATGTCTTTGGCATAGTGAAGCCTGCAGCCTCCCACAGAATTGTTTTTTTTTTTTTTTAACAAATCTATTGTTCATTCCATGTTCAATGTTAATTACAATGACAATTATCTTTAACACAGGATTCTAGCCTTTTCAGAACAGCATAATAACCATCAAACTCACTGTGCAAGCTCAGCTCGGAGCTTAAGAGATACACATCTCTTTTTAGGCAACATGATCGCATTCTAAAAGTTAAACTTTAATTCAAGTTGCCCTTGGATGTTTTGTATATGCTTAGAAATTGCTGCTCTCCAGCAAAGCAATCTGGATAACGACAGAGAGCACAAGAAGTTATGACTTGTCATATCTTTCTTCATTGGTGCTACACCTCCAAGCTGATAAGAGCAAAAAGCAGAAGGCACTTTGGAGTTACTACACACGACATTACAACACTGTACGGTCTGAGAGAAGCACTTACTTGTACATGGTCACTCTTAGAGAAAAGGCATGAGTTCCCTTAATATGGAAATTTATTTAATATACTATAACTAGCATCATTCTCTGGAGTTACCTGTTGATAAGAACTGAATTCTGCTTTGTGACATAGCAAAGATATTTTCTTATTTCCCTGCCAAAGTGGTTACAAAGTATAGACTTCCTAAGAGAGGGAGCTCCTTCGTCCAGCCCTTCCCTCCTTTTGAGAAAGGAAGCAGATCCTTTAGAGTTCAACCTGTACATATCAGCAAGCAACCTGATCACTGGCTTTCCTGGTAGGTACAACATCTTCTGCACAAGCAGGAACAGAGCTGTAGAGTGTCCCTGAGGCACCTGAGCACTTAATGATGCTCGCAACATTCTTCCAAAATTTCCTCTTAAAATCTTCATCTTGCTCTCTCTCAAGTGGATAAAACTCTAACAAAGACCAAGCAGGCACAGAGACAGGCTCCAAATCGTTCAGTTGCTCAGTACATTTCTGCAGTTTGTCAGCCTTCCTGCTTTTAAATGAGGCGGCGGTGGGTGTGTGAAGGAAATGAAGTTTCTGTCTAGGGCATTGGTTAAACATCTGGACCTCTGAACATCCTTCCCAGAGAGGCATCCCCAAAGCAGTGAATTTAAACCTATGACTAGTGAATGACTACTCTGTTTACATATAGAAAACAAGGCCTGAGAGGCAAAGGAAATGCATGCATGGAAAATACTGTCCAGGACTTTGATCAGACCAGCCTTGGTGGGAGAAGCAAACTTAAAGCACTAACTGGAGACGGCCAAGCAGATTATAATGATGGAGAGGCACCTCCCCAAAAGGAGGCTGGCGAGGTGATGAGCTCCCCCTATTTGTTTTCATGGGCTTTGAGTCAAGCTGTCCCCCGGGGTAGATGCAGGGTATCCTCACTCACTGCAGCTCTGCACTGCTGTGCAACGTCTTTTGACAGCGCAGGTATGTGATGCACAGAGCAGCGGCATTGCAAAAGAAAATAATAATAAATAAACAAATGAATAGGGCGGACAAGCCCGTGCTATAAAACCACCGGCAGCCCGGGCAGACGGGAGTTTCCAGCTGCCTCACACGAAGCGGGGCAGCCAGGGGACGTGGCCGGGCGCGGCGGGGAGCCCAGCGCCGAGCGAGGCGCCGCGGGGCTCACCGCACGCGTTCCTGCCGCGCGACCCAACGCCTGGGCAGCGCTTCACGGCCAACAATAAACAGCGAGCCAGCTCGCGGCTGAGAGCAAGCGAGCGGCTGCCCTGCTGCCCGGGGGAGGCGGAGTGCGCGGGGAGGAGGCTGCGGGCCGCCAGCCTGCGCAGCCCCGCGGGACGGGCAGGGCGCCGCGACCGCCGCAGGACCCCGCGGAGCAGCCGGCCAAGGCGCGGGCACTGCCGCACAGCCCGAGCAGCCGCTGCGCTCGTTGGTTTCCAGCTTTTGTTAAGCGAAAAGGAAGCGGCGCGGGGAGATACCCGCGGAGGGTGCGCCCTACGAGAGGGTGGCTCGGACAGCGCCCTGGCCGCCACGGAGCCGCGGGGCAGCCGCCCCCCACAGCCGGCCCGTCCGCCCTCACCTCGTCCGCCATTCGCTGCGTCTCCACGGTGGCCAGCTGCGTCGCCGAGGGGCCGCCGCACAACATGGCGGCCGCCCTGCCTTGCCTTGCCCGGCCCTGCTCCGCTGCGCTCCGCGCTGCCCGGCCCCGCGGGAAGCGGCCGGGCGGGTCCCCGGCCCGGGGGCGGCCGCAGCCCTGGGGGCCGGGCCGCGTTTGCTACGTGGACGGGGAGGGACAGGGTCGGCGGGGAAAGGGTAGGGTGGGGTGGGGTTTGTTTTGTTGCTGTCTGCTTTTGTTTTAATGCTGCCTCATACAAAGGAGCAGGAGGGATTTTCTCCAGAAAACGTTCCCCTTCCCTGTGCAACGTTGGTGCCTGCCAGGCAAAGGAGGAGAAAAAGCCGCCTGCAAAACGAGAGAGGGACAGAGCTTTGCTGGGGCCTCGCCCCTTCAGACTGCGCTGGCCCGGCTGGCGGCTGCTTGGCTTTCCCAGCACCTCCTCCCTCACCCCCCCCTTTTTTTTTTCTTTTTTCCAGCCCTATTCCATGTATCCCATCCTTGCGCTAGCAGCGGGGACAGCTTCACGTGCTGCGACTCCTTCCTTCGCCATTTTATGGTTCCGTCTTCTGGTTTCATTTCATCTTGCCGGTCCTCAGGCAGCCTGAGAGCCAAAGACTGGGCTGAAGTAGCCAGCACCTGCTCTGACGAGATGCTCCCTGGCAAGGGTTTGAGCTGCATGTCCAGTTCTCTAGCTAAATGTTTCCTTCTCCCTCCTTTGAATGACCAGCTTTTTATTTATTTGTTTATTTATTTGTTTTGGTAGGGAGGAGAAGACCTTTCCCAACCTCCCTAGATTAATTTGGCAAATGTGACACCTACATCTCTCAGCAGTGGATGTTGCCCGCTGACTGATGGAGGCTTGGTTGCAAATTGGCTTTATAAAGAGTGTCTCTTTTTTTTTTCCCCCCCCCGAAGACCCCCTTGCATGTAGTTGTGCTCCACTAAAATAAGCTGTAGGCAGTGGGTCTCCGCAACATGTAGCTTGAGGCCTGCAGCACTGGCTAAAAGTGCAGTGGGTTCATCCACACATTGAGCATGGGCTGATCTGTCACTATAAAATTATAGCAGCTGTATCATGCATTGGGGCAGTTATATATATTTATATATATAGAGAGAGAGACATAAAGAAAAACATCCCAAAGCTTAGAAATAAATGCCAACGTTATTGACTGAATGCATTGGTAGCGAATATTCTACTCCTAACAGCCTGTGAACAATGCTAAGTTTTGAAAGGGAGGCTGCCAAGGGTTGTCATGTTGTGTATGCTTGTACATAGTCATCAGTTTTTATCCTGTGCTTTCCTCTTTCAATTCAGTTTGAACATGTGCTTTCAGTGCTGTCAGCTTCAGGGATGACTCTTGGTGACAGGTTTGGCCAATAGCAGTTATTCATAATTGATAATGATAAAACTTTTTGCCTGCTGATCCTCTGAAGAGTGCTTTAGCCATTAACAACTATATATATGTATACACTATATACAAACTAAATATATATATATTAATTTTCAAGATATTACTGCCACCTAGTGGCTATCTTCATGCCCTCATTTAAATTTAAGAAACTATTCTAAATTAAGGATGAAGGCCATAATGAGCAATGTGACGTTTTGGGAGCAGTGAGCAGCTCTCACTAGGTTCAGTGCAAATTGATTTGTCACAAGTCTGGCGACAACAATTTGTATTTTCAACCTATTTTTTTAACTTTCCATGCAAAAGTTTAGAACCATAATTTTCAGATCATACCCAGTTGGACTGGTTCATACAGTTATATGTAGTAATTAAAATTTTAGCCCATTGCATGGTGAATGTAACAAATCAACAAAATGGTTAAATGAAATTCTCTTAATATAATTCTCCTAGGTGTTTTGGACTTCCATGTACTCTCCTAAGCCACAACTCTCTTTCCTTATCAGCAACAAGTGGAGGTGGCAAAAGAAAAATTTTATGCAGTAATGTCATCTGTAAGTTTTATTTGCCTGCTCTGGAAAAGAACAAACAAGCAAAACAGGAGAGTTGTGATAGTCTCCCCAAGGCATTCTCCGGGTCCTTTGGATTCAACTCAAGCTAAGCTGCATTCCCATATACCTTTCTGCTCTGGTCTAGACTATGTTCATGTTTGACAAGAGGTAGAACTGGCATCTTCATGGCAGCTGCTTGTTCTTGCACATGGGTTCTAGAAAGAGTGAAATAAATTCCTCAGCATAACCACACCCTTTCCTGGATCTGAAAAGAGGGTAATAAATTCCTCAGCATATCCACACCCTTTCCTGCCAAGCTTTCTTGGGGCACTCTTCATCTCATCAAGCCACAAAGACATGTATTCTAATGACTTCCAACTTTTCCCATGTGGATGAAGAAGCACCAGCCATACATTGCAAAACTAGGAGCATGTATGTCTCCTTTTAGGGTAGCAGGACAAGCAGCAAGAAGAATGAACTTCTCCTTTGCTCTCTTCTGAATTCTTTACTCTTCAGATATAGTGTGCACTTCTTGAAGAGAAGGCTAGTTTAAGATGGGCCAGGAGGGAAATAATTACCCTAAGCATCTCCTGTAAAACTGCTGAACATCTGGTGCTCTGTGGGAGCCAAAATACACCCCATTTTCTCATTTACCAGGGTGTATGTCTCAGAACCTAGGTCTGTGTGTCTTCCTCATCCAGTCATCTACCAGCCTGCACACTTCAAATATTTATCTTTTCCCTTATCACTCTAGCTGGATGGACAGTTTTGTTATTTCTGCATCTCTTAACTCCTCCACTTCCTTTTGTTTCATTTGCCTTGTTTCAAGCCCACCAGTATCATTATGATTAGTGTAATACTACGTGTAGGTATGAGGCAGATTAATATGGCAAAGCACAACACTGACTATGGTGTGAAGGGTTTAGCCATGTATGCCACGTGGAATATTACAACAGCAACACGTCATTATGCGTACAACTACTAGTGACATAATCAATCACAGATACATCTCAGTGCTCTCACAACCTTCTCCTGGGAGATAAGACAAGCTGTTCTCCCCCTCCATCAATGCAGTCAGGCCTGAGGTGAAGTCACCTCAGCTGGGAGAAACCAGCAGGAACCTAGTAGCTTGGTCTAATGTAACAGAGCCTAGAAGAGCATTGTCTAGTAGTACCTGCTGCTCCCACTTGTGAGCAGAAAGGAGAGATTGGGACATTACTAAATATAAATAGCAGGGTGCTCTGACACTTTAAATACTTTACATGTTCACAGCCTTGGCTGTACACAGCATGTAGGATGTTGGGCCTTTTTTATTTTCCCCATGACCGTGTGTTCCCCAAGTGAAACTGTGTATCTTGCTTTTGTAGAAGGGAGAGTCCTGAAGAACCTGGTTACAGATCACATATACTGAATAAAGAGGGACTATTATACATAGTGGGAAAGAGGAATATTGTACATAAGTGTAAAAGCAGAGTATAGTGGAATTGCCTAATTGCCTCCCATAGTCAGCTGAGTTTGCAGTCTGGCAGGAAAAGATTGCAGAGGCAAGGCAGCATAAAGAGTTCTGCTTAAACCCCACCAGAGGCCATCTTCACTTGTCCCTTCAAGATGTCCTGATTTCAATAAAGCAAATGCAATTTCAGTTCAGGTGTCCCCAGACACAGGCTTTGGACAGTCCTTCCTCTGGAGATGCGAGCGTTACCGTACCGGCGCTAACATAGACTGTGGCGGGGCTGTGTCACAGATATGCATCTTTGTTGTCTTTCCCAATCAGAAGTAAGAGGTGAGCAAGTTCCTCTTGGGGACTAATGTGGTTTTCATGGTCGTCTTTTGTTAGGAATGTACTGTGTTCTCTGTGACAGAGCTGCCTCCAGTGCCTATGAAATTTCGAGAGTTAGCAGATGGCTGAGAAGGCTCCTCCTCAGGGCCTGGGGCCTCTTCTCTTGTGTCTCCTGCCACTGACTCTTGTGAGCTGGACTCTGGGCTGGAAGCTGGCAGAAAGCTGGGCTCTGCACTGAGGGGATCGCTGTTCTGCAGGGGGAGGAGGGCCCGGTGCCGCATCAGGCTGTCGTCGCTGTTCTGCGCTTCCAGGGAGTTCCTGCGCTTGGTGCTCCTGTTGGCCACGGCATTCTTCTGCGGCTCCTCGAAGCTCAGAGACAGGGTGACTGTGCCGCTCCCGAAGCTGACCTTTTGCTTGCACCCGCGCTGCTGCTGCCGCTGCCGCTCTGCAGAGGCTGGCAGAGGGAAAGGGTCTTCATGGTTGCTCTTGCTGCTGATGGAGGAGGAAGGGGTGGAGCCGGTAGAGCCCCCAAGGCTGTTGGAGCGCTTGCGTGACACGTTGCTTCGTCTCAGGGTGGCTCTGGCAGCCACCTTGAAAGCATGGGCGGCTGTACTGCAGCGCACCTCCTCGATTGTGTTGCGGGAGGGCTTGAAGAGGATGATGTAGACTTTATTGAAAAAAATGCAGGCTAGAAGCCCAAAGCTGGCAGCCAGTATCGCGATCACTTCCACAGCAGAGACAAATTTGCCGTATGTGCTGGCATAAGCAGGGATGAAGGAGATCCAAACAATGAAGAAGATCAGCATGCTGAAGGTGATGAACTTGGCCTCATTGAAGTTCTCAGGCAGCTTTCGGGACTTGAATGCAAAGAAAAAGCAGATGGCTGCCAGGAGGCAGGTGTAGCCAATGAGGAAGCCAAGCGCCATCAGGGAGCCCTCATGGCAGGTGATGAAGATGATCTCATCCTCCAGCTCATGGTTGCGGTAGCTAGATGGGGGCGCCGTGTACAGCCAAATCACACAGATGACAATCTGCACAAATGTGCACAAGAAGACCAGGAGGAACTGGAGGTTGAGCCCCCACCACTTGCGGTGCAGGCTGGTGGGAATCTTTGCCTCAAAGACGAGTAGGACACGGTTGGTTTTTACCAGGATGCAGGAGATGCAGAGGACAAAACTGATGCCGAAGGCTGGCTGTCGCAGACGGCAATTCCAGTCCTCGGGTTCACCAATGAAGAACAATGAGCTGGAGAAGCAGCAGAGCAAGGAGAAGAGCAGGAGATAGGACAGCTCACGATTTGTGGCCTTGACAATGGGAGTATTGCGAAATTTGGTGAAAACTCCCAGGACAAAAGAAGTCAGGAAAATTCCCAGCACAGCAAAGAGAGTCAGAGCAATCCCAAAAGGTTCTGTCCAGGAAAGGAACTCTATTTGCTTGGGGATACAAGATGTGTGGTTCTCATTGGACCAGTAGTCCTCGGGGCATTTGTCACAAGCACTAGCATCTGAAAAATAAGTGACAGGAAGAGAGGTTTGTTATCATGAGAGGTTGAAATGGGTGATGAGATAAATAGAGGCTACACACCAGCTTTCATCTTAAACAGAGAGGGTGCTTCTTTCTGGTGCCTGCAGGTTCCCAGTATCAGATCTAGAAGTGTTTTACCATGAAACCATCAGTCATTCCATGCTATGTAGGAAAACGCAAAGGACATTTAATGCCAGTTTTAAAAAAGGCCTTCCCCTGCACTATAGCCTTTCAGATCAATTTCTTGACAAAACTTTGCTTGTTTGATTACTGTGAGCCATTACACAAGTTCTGTCCCTTGCTGTTTCTACAGAGTCTAGGATCAGGGTAGGGTGCCTCCTTCTTTCATGTTTTCAGAGTGACAAAAGCTATTGCTATTTCTTGTGGCTGCATCAGAAGCCTCCTACATGCAAGTCAATTTCAATTTCTCCTTTTTCCTAAGTGACAGTAGAAGTGACAAGCAGACTTAGCAGAAGACAAGACCTCAACTTGTCCCAATGTATGGGACTCGACTCATACATTTTTTCAGATAAAGCCCCTCCAGGGTTTCTGTGAAGCTCCCTAGCAGAGCAGGGCATAGCAAAAAGGATCACTTGTACTCTCACTGCCTCTCCTGTGCCTGGTCTATGGAGGAGGGGCACCTGTTTATTTGGACTGTGACTCTGACCAAATTAATAACTCCATTAATATGGAGTTTGTCAAAGATTCCCAAAGGAAGGGGTCTAGCCCACCTTCCCCTGTGGGCTGTTCTGTGGAACTCCGGCTCAGCACTGCAGGGAAGTAACTTTAGCACAGTCGTGGGTGACGGTGCCCATGAGAGGCACCGTGGTCCTCTGCAAACCCCAAAGGAGGTCTGTGGGCATTACCTGTTTCATCGCTGTACTCCCCATCAGGACAGTCCACGCACTCGAAGCAGCAGGTGGGCTCTCCCTCAATAATGCCCTTCCTGGTGCCTGGGAGACAGTCCCTGCTGCAGTTAGAGAAAGGCACCTGCAAGAAAAGAGTTGTTAAGAGTTATTAATGGTGACAGTGGCCCTTCCAGAGCCTTCAGGATCGCATCAAGGGATGGTAGGGGAGACAGCAGATCTCTGTAACATCTACTGTGTTATGGGCACTGGTAACTGGTGTGTGTCCCATCATAGCAGAAACATTCCTTAGATGGAGATCAATCCTGGCAGGAATTCAAGTCAGACTTGGAAAGGAATGGCTCTGACTACTTAACCCCAATTCTTTCTCTGTCTTATATATTGCATATTAGCTGTTAATGATTTATAGGAATTAAAATAGGTCCTTAAGGTACACTCCAAGCATGTTCTCTTGAAAATAATCTCAAACCCAGAAGGAGCAATTAACTAAATTACATTAACTAGACTACATTAAGTGAATTCATAAACAAGAAGAGCTTTTCCTGTTTTTAGAATTCTGAACATCTACCTAAAGTGCAAATCAGAAGCTATATGCAGATGCAAAAAAGCATGTACATTCATGTGGGGTACACCTTGGGTTTTTCACGCTTACATCCATAGAAAGGATCTATATAGCCCCCATCTAACTGCTTACGTATCTACGTTTAACCAGAAAGGTAACTCAGATTTCCAGACTTCTGCTACTGCAAATTATTACGTATGTCAGCTGTTGACTGTGCGTATTAGCTCACCTAGGCATGCTCATGTCCTGGCAGCAAGTGCTCCAAGGGGCCTGCTTAGTGCATGCCTACAGACACTGACAGCAAGAAGTCACAACAGGTGGAAATCAGGATCTCTTGCACAAAAGCTAAGCTTAAGTTTCTGTTTGGAAGCCTCCATTCACCCTGCTGAAGGTTTGCTTCAGCAGAAAGGAGCTGAGTCATAGGCCTCACCACATTGCTTCCTATTTATCTGCTAAGCAATCCTATGAGGGAGAAAAAATAAATTGTTTTGATTTGCTCTTGACAAATTTATATTGTCTCTTTCTTACCAGATTATTAACCTCTATTTATAAAGTATTTTATAGTTCTTATCACATCTTTTTGGTTACTGAAGCTAGCCTCAATTGTGTGTAATTCCCTTGGCTCTCCAATGTCTCATTTTAAAAATAAAAATTACCCTCTCTAATCCTTTGAGACATCTCCACACTTTTCGTAGATAAATTACTAGTACTTCTGAGATTGCTTTATCTGACTCAAGTGTTCTGTGGGAAATTTCATGAATTTCTGCCAAAATTAATACATCTTGTCTGCTCTTCTTGTTGTTGCTGAACAAGTTGTCAAAAGTTGTTTTTTTGCAGGTCTGGCAAATACTACAGCTCCCCTGTTAAAACTAACTACATTTAATCTGGTTTTGATGAAACTGAAGCACAGAAAACTTCAGTGAGTAGAATACTGGGTAGTCTCTCTGAACAGGATCTTTTAATTGGGGAAATTGGGGGAAAAAAGCTACAGTAGATATAGAGATCACGATCCTATTAACTAGAACACTGTTTTCATGCCTTATCATAACATTTAGCAATGTACAGCCATATTTATAATAGTTTAGGATATAGAATGAAGATAAATATTGTGCTGTCAGAGGAATTCATATAAAGAAAATTATTGTGTTTAAATGAAGGGAAAAAAAAAAGAGTTAACACCCTAGCTTTTAGAAGAGGTGCCAACAGCATTTGCAATGATCAGAAGGGGTTAGACTATCATATGCTTTTAACTCCATTTACAGTTTAAGCAGTCTTCAGCTGGGATTGGAAAGCCCCAAGCTCAGTATTCCTGCTGCAGTGTGCTCTAACCTGTGCTCCCTTCAGAGAGCTCTGAATTTAACCCGCAATTGAAGCTGGTAAATCTGGAGTCAGATGAGGATTAACTGACGGTATGAACATGCCAGGCAAATGTAGCCACTGCAGGAACAATTACTGACCTGTCAGCAAAAATGAATGATCATTTAGGTGAAGTGCTGTGTTCATCAATGAGGAACTGATTTAACATGTCTCAGCATTGCAGCATAGGCTGTCAGTGATCCTGCTGAGCTAACACTCCATGTCACTCCCAAGCCATGTGCCTGCTCAGTAGCCCCTCTGTGAGCCATGGCTTTTTTTTTCTAGGGCGCTGCTACTCTGGATTACAGCAGCTCACCTGGCACCTGCCCAAAGCTCTCTACATTGCATGCCCACAAGTAGGGGGTGACATAGCCTTGGAAACCAGTGAAGTATCCAGTATGAAGGTTATGCTGAGAAGATCTTACATCTGCAAGCAGGTGGAGCACAACTTAGAGGCAATCAATACATTATGTAGTTTTGAGACATAACAGGTCTCTTCCACTAGATAAAAAAGATAGTGGGGCAGCCCATAGTTTGGACAGGAGACTCAAGCTAGCACAAGTGAAGTAACGGGCTTTGTTCTGTTTGGTTTGCAACGTAAGAGTATGTGGAAGGCTGTGGGACTTGGAGATGAAGTCTGCAGAAAACAGTTGTGAATTTAACTAGAAGAAGAAATAAATGCTTTTTGATCCAAATGCAGCAGTAGTGCTGCATTTTCAGTAGTAACACTATCACAGTCAGGAAAATCTGGCTGTCAACAGCCAGCTTTGAGCAATGAATTTGTCATTCTTGTGGAAAGAGATTAACAAAATTCTAAGCTAACTACTTGGGCCAGAAAGGAAAAAAAAACATTATTACATTAACATTAAAACATTATAACATTAATATCCATAATAACTCCATGGCTCATTGAATATGTTGGAATGGAGAAGCAGCAGCCCATTATTTCTATAAGTTGGTAATGAAGGTTTGAAGGACTAGAGCAGAAATTGTGCACACACTAAGATAAATGGGCCTTTTAATGAGGCATGGAGCCATAATGTGTGGAGTAAGGAGAGTTATTTCAAATTCCATCTTCAGAAGTTTGGGAAACATTGCTGGAAGTATATAAGCACTTACCTCCTTAGAGAAGCCACTCCACAGGATTTTGTTTTCATTGATAAAGAGCCTCTCCCCTTTCTTAGCATAAACATTGTAGTGCCCAACCTCCTCAAAGACGACTGAGCCATCCTCTGAAGAGAGATGCCAGTTGATTATTGAGTAATTCCCTACCAGGTCTCCAAATTCATCAAAATCCACCTGTTCCCCCATGTTATTGGTGAAATTTAAGTGACGCAGATGCTTCAGAACCTGCAAAGAGAAAGAGACACCATGAATGCCTGCAAGTCAAAGCCCTGGCATTGCACAGACCTGCCATGTGAACAAATCCAAAAACAATCAATTTACCACAGTCCTTAATCTCTTAAAAATCACGTAATCGCAGCCGCAGCAGGCTTGCTCTCATAGACACACGTGCACGCATACTCTCCCTGTAGAATCCTTGATGACAGCACAAGGTATTAAAACGACCAGGGCAGTTGGGACCCGTCTGTAACACTCTGCTCACCAGGTGCTACCTGGTGAATTTAGCATTAGAGAATTTAGCATTCCTCTCCCAACCCTTCCATCTCCCTCTGTAACTCTGCAGCTCTCTTTAGTGGGTAGAAAAGTGGCGATAGTCACTGTAGCCTTTCAGTCACCCGGACATTCCTTTCACTCTGCCCTTGCAACCACTTTGCATATGCTCTCATTTAGCATCGTTCATCTTTCATCCCTCAGAACGGCAATGCTTGAGAAATAATTACAACTTGAGTTTTGATTTAAAAACTTCAAGACCAATGCACTTCTGTAAGAAAAAACAAATCAAAGTTGTTCACCATGTGGTAGGCCTGGGCAGTTCACAGCACTCTTGTCTCCTGATCCTGGTCACAGGATATGTTTCACATAATGGGATATGTTTCACATAATCCCATTCTGTCTCTCCCACATGTTGACTCCTGTAATTTTCACCTATTGTCTTAAACTATTTCAAACTGTGGACAAGAGCAGTTAATACTGGCACCACTGCAGTTCCAAAATTAATGAACTACCTGGCCTGATAGGTAAATGACAGAAACAGCAACATGTAGGAAAACTTGTACTAGAAGCTGTGATACAATTCATCCATATTGCAGTTTTTTTTTAATTTTCAGTTTTTGTACCTCTGGCAGCATTTAAGTCCCTTCCTTTCCCCCTTACATGCAAACATACAATCCTGAATGAGGAAAAATGAAATTATTTTGTCAAGACAGGCAAATCATAGACATGGAACAGACAGAATTGTTTGGCTGAAGTCTAACAGAGGAACAGAATCCCTTCATTAATTTGTCAGTTTTGCTAAACTGTTTCATTTTTTGCTATTTCCCTTTGAGACTCTCCTATCTCAAGCTGATATCCCCAGAGCTGCAGAGAGAGAGGCCCTCCTTTTGTCTCACTGCCTATAATAATGCCAGCCTGAGAGGAGCTGGAAAAATTAGAGCAGGACCAAACAGGACATGGCTGGTGATACCATTGTCTTTTTTTTTTTTTTTTTTTTTTTTTTTTTTTTTTTTTTTTTTTTTTNTTTTTTTTTTTTTTTTTTTTTTTTTTTTTTTTTTTTTTTTTTTTTGTGATATTGATGGAATACATCCAAATATTACCATGCTATTCAATATTTGATTAACATGTCATAGTGGAGGTAGGATTTTTTCTCTCATTCTCACCCTCATTAGCCCCACTCTTTAGATCAGCTGCCTCATATGTTGCACAGCTGAGATGATCTCAGTAAAGGCCCAGCCCTGTCCCTGGAAGAATTCACCCTCTGATGGACACTGAAAATGAGGGTAAGGCTGAGGACTCTTGGACTCTCCTTTCCTCTTCTTCTTCCTCTCCCACTCCAGGGGCTCCAGCAGATTTGCTCATTTACTAACTCTCAGTGACTGACCTTCACTGACCCTGCAGTTAGACCTTCTACTCGAAGATTTGCTCTTCACTCCAGCTCAACATTGCACTCTCAAACACTTCTGCAGCTCTCTGCTAAACAGCTGCTCTGCTCTCTCCGAGGCCTGACTGGATTTCAGTGTGTGGTTGAATGTTATTTGTGCAGACAGGAGGTGGAGACCTTGCACTTCTTTTGATGTGGTGAACTGATGCCTCTAACAGGCAGGTAAATATTCATAAGAAAGCACTGATCTGCACCAAATGTTGTCTTCTCCCAGGCATGACCCTACCAAGGAGAACGAGAGTCCAGTGTGTCAGTTCCTGCAAGAAACATGCATGCCCTAGGAAGAATCCCAACCAGAGGGATAATAGGAATGACAGAAATAATAAAACCATGTTTTCCCAACAAAGACCAAAGTTGGTCTTGAGGTCTAGATTTGTGAGAGGCAGCTTGTGAAGCAGTAACTGAACAGATAGGGCATGTTCTTGTTTTAGATTGTCACAAAAAGAATGATGCCTATATATCAACAAAGGCTACTTTCCACAGAATGAAGGTAACGTCTAAATGGAAATGCATATTTAAGTACTGAAATTTTAAAAAGCAACAACATTCTTCTATAGGCACCTATCAATGATTAGCTGAAGCCTTCACAGTTAAAAAATGTGCCATTATGTTTTATATCTAAACCTAGAATCATAAATACTGAGGACTCAGTCCACAAAGACTTAAAAGACTGCTTCAGCAAGGAGCATGTGTCAGGGGTTCATGTGTCACACTCTAGAGCTGAGATTTTAAGAAATAAGTGATGGCCACAGAGCTTGAACCAGAAGCCAATAGGGAGAACTTTCTCTATGATTCTACCTTACAGATATTTTTTTTCTGTCAGGCATTGAATTAGAATGCTTTTAAATTAAAATGCTTATTATCAGAAATGACTTGTAAATTCCCTTCTAGTTCACTCTGCTGTTATTCTTCTAAAGATCAATACAAGCCCATGCTTTATTGAGGCTAGATATTCTGGCTAATGGGGTTTCAACTCTTAAAGAAGGAACAGAAGAATATAATACAAACACACCTGTATCAGGTCAGATCAGTGGTCCATCTCTCCAGGATCCCATTTCTGAGTGTGACCAAGAGCAAATACCACAGAAATGCCAGCAAATGCCAGGAAATAGAAGAAGTGGATGTGATACTTTCCCAGAAAAACCTCACACATTCTGCGGCTTAGTGACTTCCTATGCCAAAGGTCTTTGCACTCAATAACCCTTGGTGGATTATTCTTCCATGACGTTACACTTTTGTGTTTTGCACCTGTACAAACTTTTCACAGCTACTTTTCACAGACACAGCTACTTCAAGGAAGGAGATCTGCATTTTATGAGAAAAGCACCGCCCTCATTTCACTTTTGCCAAATAGTAATAGTAATAAAAAAGTTCATTTTGCTCTTGTGTTACCTAGCTTCTTCTGCAGTTACTTCAGTTTCAGACAGCTCCTCTAACAAGTCCCCTGTAAGCAGGGTTTTAGCTGAGGATCTTTCTCAAGTTCTTCCATAGTGAGCACACTTCTGCTTTATCTTTTCCTTTCTAGCAACTGTCTATGACTCAACATTTTCACAGATTCACAGATTCACAGAATATTTAAGGTTGGAAGGGACCTCTACAGATCATCTAGTCCAACCTTCCTGCTCAAGCAGGCACACCTACAGCATGTGGCACAGGGTGGCATCCAGGCGGGTTTTGAAGACCTCCAGAGAAGGAGACTCCACAACCTCCCTGGGCAGCCTGTTCCACTGCTCTGTCACCCTCACAGTAAAGAAGTTGCTCCTCACCTGGAGACGGAACTTCTTGTGTTTCAGCTTGTGGCCATTACCCCTCGTCCTGTCGCTGGCCACCAGTGAAAACAGCCTGTCCCCTTCCTCCCTGCATTCTCCCTTCCTGAACTTATACATATTAATCACATCCCCTCTGAGCCGTCTCTTCTCCAGAGAAAACAGGCCCAGCTCACTCAGCCTCTCTTCATACGAGAGATGTTCCATTCCCTTAATCATCCTGGTTGCCCTTCTCTGGACCCTCTCCAGAAGCTCCACGTCCCTCCTATACCGGGCTGCCCAGAACTGAACACAGTACTCCAGGTGCGGCCTCACCAGAGCTGAGTAGAGGGGCAGAATCACCTCCCTTGACCTGCTGGCAACACTCCTCCTGATGCAGGCCAGGATCCCATTGGCCTTCTTGGCCACGAGGGCACACTGCTGACTCATGGTTAACTTAGTGTCAACCAGGACTCCCAGGTCCCTCTCCGTGGAGGTGCTTTCCAGCAGGTCCACCCCTAATCTGTCCTGGTGCCTGGGGTTATTCCTCCCCAGGTGCAGGACCCTGCACTTGTCCTTATTGAACCTCATGAGGTTCCTCTCTGCCCAACTCTCCAGTCTGTCCAGGTCCCTCTGGATGGCAGCACAGCCCTCCGGAGTGTCGACCACTCCACCCAGCTTGGTGTCATCTGCAAACTTGCTCAGGGTGCATTCCGTGCCCTCGTCCAGGTCATTGATGAACAGGTTGAACAGCACTGGGCCCAGCACTGACCCCTGGGGGACACCACTGGCCACAGGCCTCCAACTGGACTCGGCCCCATTTCTCACCACCCTCTGAGCTCTGCCATCCAGCCAGCCCTCGATCCACCTCACCGTGCACTCGTCTAGCCCACTGTCCCGGAGCTTCCGTATGAGGATGATATGGGAGACAGTGTCAAAAGCCTTGCTGAAGTCAAGGTAGACAACATCCACGGCTCTCCCCTCGTCCAGCCAGCCTGTCATCCCATCATAGAAGGCTATGAGGTTCATCAGACATGACTTCCCCTTGGTGAATCCATGCTGACTGCTCCTCAGCAGCTTCTTCTCCTCCATATGCCTGGAGATTCTCTCTAGGATGAACCGCTCCATCACCTTTCCAGGGACAGAGGTGAGGCTGACTGGCCTGTAATTGCCCGGCTCCTCCCTCTTGCCCTTTTTGAAGACTGGAGTGACGTTGGCTCTCTTAATGTTTTTTATTTTACTTTTACTTTACTTTATTTTACTTTTACTTTACTACTTTTATTTTACTTTTACATTTAGTCTGACAGAGTTTATGATCCTTTCAGTTTTACTCAGTGACCAGAGCCCTTTTTGAATAATGCTGTCTTGCTTCTAATAAATACCCTTTATTCTGCTGCTTATCCTGGCCAGATCCTTATGACCTTTCATCACTTTTTCTTGCTATCCAGTGTTGCTTGCTTTGGACCTTTAATATTGAGGCCTATGGTAGTTAAAAAAAAAAAATGCTGACAGGCAGCAGATAAATTGGTGTGTATGTAAATGTC